CTTTATAAGTGAAAAAGCCACCTAGCGAACTTCGAGCATCAACGAAAACTTGTCTGCGTTTAAAAATTGCAGAATTCAGGGTAGCCTTTCCTTCATTGTCTCTTTTTAAGATCTTTTAAGGATATCCATTTCAAGAAAGTTCACTAAAAACTGCAACCATATTAAGTGTCCTAAGTGCCACTTTGGATCAAGCGTAAAAACCGGTTATGAAAAACGATTCACAGAGGATTAAATATACTATGTAACTCTTGTAAGTTGAAATGGTTACATATAAAAGTGGTGGCTGCTTAAGGAAATCGATGTTATATGGAGAATGTCCATAACGAACACGGTAATTAGAATGAAGAAAACGACCATTCTAAATTGTACTGTTACCAAAACGAACGAGCTCCATCTATTTGGCACCTTCAAAGTGCATTCATCTGAATTTGACAGTCATGGAACCCTTCAAACGCGTGATTCTTTGTGACGTTCTGGGTACCAACTGTAGTTCAGAACACAGTGTTTTGTTAAAGCGTTTTGTTGTCGTTGCACGCAATTCTAAACATGGTTGAAGTGTCAACCTAAACCTATCTGCATAGGGACCGATAGGAACAAGGAATATTGTGTCAAAAAGCGGAGAATTCTGCGCTCGTCAGTTCCAAGTTCACTCTCAATGTTCACCAAACGCCAAGCGACGATGTGTATGTGTGAGAACAAAGCCATCTAAATAGTTCAATTTGTTCAGCTACACAATGTGGGTTTCTCGCGAATATGATTTACTTCTAGATTATGTGCAGTTCTATTCCTTTCCTCCGTTCGTTGAGTTTAATGAAAATAGCGTCTGGCTCAGTGACATCTGGGAGCTACATATGTAGCCAGCAACCGAGGATTTACTGGAACTTGCCATGGATGCACATACTCTCGTCATCCCAGTCGAGTTACTTCGTTATCGCCTTTGGGATTGAAATCAACATACAAAGCGGTGTTTTCTGCCATCCGAAGAATTTAAATTTAAGAAACTATGAGCGCTTGTTGAATAAGCTATCTTATCTCCGGGATCCAGGAGAATATAGATCGACAGCGAAACACAGATGAGCTGGTCACATAATAAGAAGTGCAGATGACAGATGGACGAAAAGAAAAGTGGACTTCGTATTCTTGTTGAGCAAACGCGAGGTGCTATTCTTTTATTCTTTATTCACAAATAAGCTGACGTTTCGGCGGATTTCGTGCTCCTCAGAGCCTGGAAAGTTCCAGTTGACAGCAACCTATTCGACCAAACACCTTCATAACCAAACAGGGAAAGCGCTAAACCAAGATTTCAATCACATTGAGCACAGCTCTGCACACTCACCGCTTTCTATGAGTCTTCCACTGAGTATGTCGTGTGAAGGCCGACTGCACAGAATTCACATGGAAGCGTAATGTGTCCTCCCATCAGAATAACAGGTTTATATACTGTCCAATAACACGCGTGATTATGAAGCTTATGAGGTATTCCTCCCTGCGGTTCATTTTCGGATCTCTGGAATAAATCCAGAACTCCTGGAGAGCTTTGCGCGCTTGAATTCTCGATTGCTGTGAGACGATCGTGGCCTGTACTTTGAAGTCCTCCCGTTATGTCTCTGGGTCCTATGCGTGTCTAGTGGGGTATTTGGTTTACGTTTGAAGACTAGATGTTTTTTATGCGGACACAGAGTGCTCTACCCGCTTCGCCAATGTGTTCTTCTCTGAACGCCTTGCAGGAGATCAGATAAACTGTTTCCGAACTCATGCAATCACCGTGTCTACCATTAGGGCAAATTATAAAATTTCGCGTTGCACATAGACGGTCACATAGGGGGTTACAAACTAGCTGGTTCCTAGGAGTACTCGGTGGTATTTTGCTTTGAGTTACTGAATGGACAGTCAGAGCGTATTAAGTTCACCCGAGGGAAACCGAAGAAAAACTGGCTTCCATTTCTGAACGTGCCAATTAACCTATGAGAAAGCGTCTACATTACGAAATGGTATCGAAAGCGAGGTACCAAAAACATACCTGTTCATTACCTCTCCTCTCACCCTTCACACACAAAAAGGCGCTTGTAAGAAACATGTTTCGAACAGCAACTAACGTGCGCACCGGAAGAGAGTAAAGAGAGAGGTTCCGGAACTTGACATGGCAAATAGCCATTTCTAATGGCAACGAAACTGTAGCTCGGGATAGGTGTAGGGAAAATCCTTCGGGCACAAACGCCAACTCTAGCGATAAAAAGGTCCCGTTTATCCTACCTTTTATCTCAAATGATGTATGTGCAGCTATAAAACCCTGCTTAAGAAGGGTGGGTCTAGAGAATTCGGTAAACGTAGTTGAAATACCACCGAGTAGTCTTAGGCGCCAGCTAGTTCGTAACCGCCTATATGACCGTCTATGTGCAACTCAAAATTTCATAATTTGCCCTAATGGTAGACACGGTGATTGCATGAGTTCGGAAACAGTTTATCTGATCTCCTGCAAGGCGTTCAGAGAAGAACACATTGGCGAAGCGAGTAGAGCACTCTGTGTCCGCATAAAAAATACCTAGTCGGCAAACGTAAACCAAATACCCCACTAGACACGCATAGGACCCAGAGACATAACGGGAGGACTTCAAAGTACAGGCCACGATCCTCTCACAGGAATCGAGAATTCAAGCGCGCAAAGCTCTCCAGGAGTTCCGGATTAATTCCAGAGATCCGAAAACGAACCACAGGGAAGAATGCCTCATGAGCTTCATGATCAAGCGTGATATTGGGCAGTATATAAGCCTGTTATTCTGATGGGAAGGGCACATTACGATTCCATGTGAACTCTGTGCGGTTGGTCTCCACGTGATATATTCAGTGAAAGACTCATTGAAAGCGGTGAGTGTGCAAAGAGGCTATTTTGTGTTCAGCATGATTAAAATCTAGGTTTAGCGTTTTCTCTGTTTGGTTGTGGAGATGTTTAGCCGAATAGATTGCTGCCGACTTGACCTTTCCAGGCTCTGAGGAAGGCGAAATCCGCCGAAGCGTCAGCTTATTTATGAATAAAGAATGAAAAAACAACACTTCGCGTTTACTCAACAAGAATACGTAGAATTACTTGATCAATACCGAGGTTGATAGGAAGTCGATCGCGGGAGTTATTACGAGAAAAGTGGACATCAGGAAAAATCAAGCGTCTTCCTGAAAGACTAAGACGGGGCGCACGTGTCTGTGAATAACGGCGACCATCTCCGTTGGAGGATGGAGACGATTTTAGGAAACCACCTTGCAAGCGTCGCCATGTTTAAAGAAGACCACAACTATAGAAGACTTTTGCGAGGAAAAGAAAGGCATGAAGGTTATGCTGGAGTCTGTAGCATAAGTGAAGACTGGTGATCTAATTATCCAAGTAGGTAATGCGTTTTGGCGAGGTAGTGTCATCTTGGCGGAATCCCTTCTTCTAAAAGAATGGTGTACTGCGGTAGAAAAGTTGCATTTCTATGATGCAATAACAAAATCGATCAGTTGGCTTTCATATATACGAGGGGTTCAATCCTTGATTGACGAGCACTGGCAGGATTGCATTGGTTTCGACGCTGCCGAAAGCTTTTTCGTAGTCAGCAAATGTTGGGACAGTAATCAGGTAATATTCTTGATGGCTTTTATAAACCTAGATGTGGCTTCGATGTTGTGTATGCTCTGTAATTCCCAATCGAATCCACCCTTCATGCTCAACTAGCTGTGTATCATTCAAATGTAGTACATTGATATGCGGCATAGAATTTTATAGTGCTGAATAGCTTATACATTCAAAAGCAAATCGGAAGACAGTAGCAAAATTCCTTTCTGCCGCCTTTCTTGGGATAAGATGACAGTGCACAAGGTTGAGATTGCCTTCTCTTTTTTTAAAGCAAATGGTAATATAGGTTGAGAGAATTGCATGTAATTTATAGTTTCCAGTTGTCGAGTGTAATATAACGTAACCTGGGGCAGTGTCTCTCATCGTACACTCGATCTCAATTCGAAATTCAAAGTTTATGGTATTAATTTTTTCTCGCAATGATCCTGGTATTCAGAAAAAAAGTTGTGGAACCGGAATTGTTGGTGCAGAATTACTTCAGCAGTTCCAGCTAAATTTCAGCTATAAGTGCTTCGGAGATAAATAGAAGCTTGACGTTTTTTGGGTCATTCCACGATCATCATGAGGAGAGAGGATGTTGGCCACATTACCTTCTGTAAAGTAGCAGAACAGCCATTTAGGTGTGCAAGGAAGACCACGCTCACCCAGCGTTTATTGTGTCACTAGAGTTAAAACCACAGACTACCAAATCGCAGCGAAAACCACCTAACAATCACCATTTCGCTCTCAAAAACTTCGTGAGGTTCAGCTTTCAAAGAAGTTGATCTGGTTCTACAAATGGAGAGCAAAAAAAGTTTCTACGGCTTGTCAGAGACGTGTTGACACATTTAGAAAGACATCTAGTAAGAGTTCTTTCGAATGACTGAGAAGAAATCACTCATCAACTAAATGCCGCTCATGACAGCCGTAAAGAATTGATCATTGGAACATGTCACAGTGAAAGACTTGGCGAAACTGGTGTAAGCGGCAATACGATCACAGCTATGAACATTGGTTTATTTAAGCACCAGAGGATTTGAGCCATGTGATTACGGTTGAAAACGTGTGGACCGACGTGAACTTTGAAAACATTCATTGTTCGTCGTATAAGATTCAGTGTCCAGTTCTTCGTTGATGAGGTCTGTATGGAATTGAATAAAGCTTGGGAGAATAGACATTCTACAGGGCCATAATTAGCAGCAAAGTGTCGTGAAACGACATGAAAGGTTAGCACACCTTTCCACTATTTTTCTTACTTTTCACTTTCCTTTGAGAAACTAAACCTACAGCTTTAATCTCTCTTGATAACGGAATGTCTAGTTAAAATTTGTTAGCCTAGGGTGGCTCGAGTGAGCAACAGTACAGATTCCACTTTTCTTGTCTTGCTTAGAATCGCCAAATAAACTCTAATTGATTAGAGAGATGATAAATACTCCTTTTTAATAGTTTCTTGTATTGACTGTGTTTTATGGAAGAGTAACAAAGAATGGCTTCGCTGGAGCATTTGGGGCCAATGGGCTTTCAGCAACTATTTTGTTTTGCGTAATTGAGGTGCAGGATACACTTTGCATGAATATCAGCGCACCTGAGCACGTATTCGTAAATGTGGCTATGAAGGATAAAGGATAAAGCAAAGCTTTCGGCGTTGATCAATCACTAAGGAATGCACCATAATTTCCACTTCATTAAGTATCGTTGGAGGTGATTGAATGCATATCTGGCCTTTACAATGACTCGCGGTGAGCTACCCATGCATCTAACCTGTGCTGCCTATCCCTCCAGACAAGTCAAGTACCAATTTGCCGACCCCGCAGAGATGGAAGGCTTGATGAGCCTTGGATGCGGGGATCGTTCCAATGTCTATTGCAGGGCGCCTCCGAACACTTCGTTATACGAGGCGTTAAATATGGTTATATGTGTATAAACCAGTTTGGCGTCGTATGGACTGAAAGTCCATCAACTAAGTTTATCTCTACATTGGAGCGAATATGGTTGCTTGCAATGCCGTTAAACCTCTTTAACAATTAGGACCGTCCAAAGTAGACGCTCTAAGGTCACTTTATAGTGCTTATGTTAAACAAAGTGCTAGTTGAACGCATTTGCTAAGGTATAAAGTAGACTAGCTTTATTCGAGATTGCTTTACTCAGGTTATACTCAGTTTCACCTAATCTCTTCATTAGCTCGGGTTACTCTATGATAATTTAAAACATGCTTCTCTTCGCGACTTGTATTTCTTTAACGAAAGAGCACCTGGCCTATCATAATGTGCAAAACGAAGGGTGGATATGTCCAAGAAATTTCCACCTGCCCTGGAGCAAGATTTCTGAACGCCAACAAGTTTCCTTCACGTTCGCCTGCCTTGAGTTCATTTTTATCCAAATGAACAAAACAGTTTTAACCGAAAAAAACTGCAAAAAGAGTAATGGCAACAATATGAAACAGAACCAAGTACAAGCAAAGCGAGCGGTTCTCAAATTAGAGCAGAAAATGTATTCGAAGTTGTACTTCAGCGTCATGTCAGTAGTAACTGCGAAGTCAGTGTATGCTAGTAATACTGGTAAATGCTTGTCAGCTTAAAAAAATAGCTAGCTTTCTGACGCATGCACATGTTGTCACTGACACACATCTTTCCTTTCTTAAAAACATGTAGACATGACGTGGAAGTGAGGATTTTTACATGTCTATCGATACGTCATTGATGTAAACATAAGTTCACTCACAAATCATGTATGCATTCAGAGAGTATTTAAGAAAGAAGGGATAAATTTGCCATTTTCAATAGCACTACTCGTTGCATCGAAGTTGAGTATTTTGAAAGCGAATGAATTCGTCAAACATAGAATCTTGTGGCCTCTTCCTTTGCTTTAAGTCGATTTATTGAACACATAATTGTCATGACATTCATCCAAATGGATTCACATGATTTCGCGACAAGTGACCCCAGTCTGAAAGCAACTATCGTTTAAAAGAAAAAAGAAGACAAAAGGAACAATACTGTAGTTCTATAATTGTTTCACAGACGCAATATGAAGGGATAAAGCTTTTGTTGTTGATCACTCACTATGGGATGCCCTATGCATTTGTCTTTATCAAGCATCCTAGAGGTGGCTGAATGAACATCTGCTTTATACAGTGACATACAGTGGCCTATCAATCTATCAAATCAGTGCTATTATTCTCTCAGAAGAATCTGGTGCTAGTTTTACCATCAAAGGCAGATGGAAAGCTTAGTGAGCTAGGGGCATGGGATCGAACGAGAGACCACGTGTTTATTTCAACGGGCCTCTAATCAATGCGCTGTACTCACCCTGATAAAGCAATGCGGTAAATAAATGATTCCTACGATTTCTTGACGACCAAACTTGAGACCATTGATGAGAAAATCTAGACGTACGCTTACCGATAGTTTTGAATCGATAGACTAATGGCGCTTTAATGACCGAACCGTCCTTGTTTCGCACGTCCACGCGTACGAAATATTCGGTGGAATCACGAAGATTGTCGAGTGCCAAAGCTGCCTCACGATTGTCCAATCGGACCAGTTTCCACTGGGAGTCTGGTCGATCCTGTATTGAACTTGACTTTTTTTCAAACGTCATTACGGAATTCACTTATATACAACAATATTCGTATTGCCGTGATTCTTCTAATGTTCTTGACTTCTTTTTTTGGGATTACACTACCTGCCATCTGAATCGTTTTAGAATTTGTTATATAGCTGGCAGTTTATGCAATAAAGCCGGAAATAAAGAAGAAAATTGCTCCACTTTTTAGTTCATCGTTATGTATCTCTGAGTTGTTGAGATATTGTGCTGTCCTCGTATTCATCCTCACCGGGAGTTATCCATGCAGCTCTTTTACGCCGATATTTTATCGCTTTCTTAGGTTCGCCTTCCATAATTTATCATTACTTTATCAAAAAGTGGTGCTGCTTATTAGACAGGAAACGTGTTCACTAGTCATACAAACCTTATTGTCACTAACGTATACATCATATCCGGCGACCAAATCCGCTTTCACATGCCTGCAATATCCAAAGTGTATTAAACCCGCACTTGTGTCAACAACGATGGAACGGATCCCCATCATGCAAGTGATTCAAATATTTCAGATAATTGACACAAATAGTTCGCTTAGTGAAAAACTAACATGTCGAATCCAAACTAAATGGGTGGTGAGAAAACATCACTTACGGTTCCAAAATCCACTGAAGTCTGACTGAGTTTACATCGTGAGAGTAGATTACATCAACCTTTTGTATAGGATTCGTTTCCACTTAAAGAAGAAGATCTTCGTTTAGCTTTTATTTCACTTTCCTATCGAAACAGTAGCGACCTAAGCTCAAAGGCTAATCAGTTGTTCGCCATCCACAAATGATTTTTTGCTTCTTCTTAGTTTTCATTAAGCATTATAGTATTAAATCGGATATTCAATAATCCATTATAAGAACGACGCTAATATTCTTTCGTATGGGCTATTTATTAGAATGGCATTTTACCGTGCTTCAATCGCTGTCGTTCTTTGTGTGTTTTATTGCGTAATGATATTAGTGGTCTCAGTTCTATCCTTGCGGACTTCCTTAATGCCTCAGAATTTACACCTAGTATTTTCTTATTATTAAACTGTGTTATACTTCATATTGCGTATTGGCAAAGTCTCTCTAGTACATCCTCCAATTTATTCACTTCCGTTACTTTACCTCGTTTGCACACATTCGGCAAGCATTAAAGTGTTAAAAGCTTTTCACAAGCATTTCTTATTCACATGCAATATTTTGAACATATGAGCCGTGCTTCTACAGGACCACCTTCTTGGCTGTTTAGGCTGGTATTAATACTATCGTCCTTCTAGCAGGTTCTCATAATCAAGATGGGTGAATTTGCTTAGTATTCCTATTGCACACCGAGATCCTATTCGAAATTTCGTTACTTAGAATGCCTTCACTCGATAGTGTTCTTTCTATCTTGCTCAGTTTCGTAGTTTCTTTTGTACTCAATATGAATGCCTGACTTACCTTTAGGTGTTTTAAATCTGAATTCCCCACTTTCGATCTCTATGTTATTGGTAAGCCTTGTTTTAATCCTCAAGACGTATTCAGTATCACTAAAAAAAACCTTGTCCTAAAAATCGTTCTAGTAGGATTCAAAATATTTTTCATCAAAAATTAACCTCGCGTTAATGGGTTTTTTACAGAATACAATGAATAGAAAGCGGTTTCAAATCAATATTTGAGGCTATTTTATTTTCTCTTCCATAATCGCCGTCGTGTCTTCTAGGAAACTTTGTCTGACCACTTATCCAGTAATGGACGTATTTTAATTTTCCTCTTCCCAGAAGATCATCAAAAGTGCGCAAATTGAGCGCCTCATCTCTCTAGGAACTCAATTTCAGTTCTACATTGGATAATGATTTTACTGGCCGCAATGTCATTTTTACAGAGCTTCAACATTAGTTTTCTTCAATAACACTTTTTTTATCCTCATCCTCAACTCATTATTACCCTGATATAAGGGGCTTCCATCAACCCATAGGAGTGGCATGGTCATTCGAAACGCACCTTTTCAAGTCGTGCAGCAATGCTGACGGCTTCCTTCCGTGGAAATTCACTTTCTGCCAGTTGTCATTCTCTGCTTCTACATATTGGACATCGAATGCTGAAACGAGTTCACTTGATGATTATCCGGAGAAACACTAAAAATAATAGCAATATTAGTATAGTAATGTAATAATAATAATCCCAACGTAACTCACCAACTATTTTTTGCTCCATATTTGCTGGTACTTCCCACGTTAGGTTAACGACACCGCGTAGATCGGAATAGAAATGGCTACTAATAATGAGATTCCCAATCTCAAAATAGTCGTTTTCTAGAAGGAAAAAGTGCACTTAACAGAAATTTTTCGCAAATGAAGCAAGAATTCCGCACTAATAGTTTGTAACCGTGCTCCTCGCAGTTATTTCGACAACCTTCTCACACATGTTCCTTTCAGTACAGTGCAAGCACTCTTCTAATGAAAGTACAATTCGCTTAGATTCCGACTGGAGAATTTCTAATGTATAAAATCGCACCTTTCGGCATACTGATTTCGACTATGGCTGCTGTAGAAGACACCCTAGTGTCATTCAACGCACTCCGTATGGTCATTTCGTATCTTTCACCAGCTATCAGATTTCCCAGCGTGAAGCTGTTTGCTGACGTTTTGATCTGAATTCCACTATTAGTTGGCCATTTATAATCCATTATTCATTTATGCTTTTTCCAGCTATAGATTTAGCAAACGAAAGGTGGCCAACTAGTTTGTTTTATTTCTCTATTTTCTAATCAATCGTTGTTACCTCTGGTGAAAGCATGTGTGACACGGCCAAAATTTTTCCATTTGTAGCAATCTCGGTAGCAAGTAAAGTAAAAACAGCTAGTTTTTTTCTGTTATTTCGACGGGTTCAGTTAAAACGTTTATCCTGGCAAATACTTCTAATAATTACTTTCAAAATTTCGGCATAAGTGATAAGTAGAATTCAAACGGCTGTTGTTTGCTGTTTCGTCTTTTGCAGTACAAAATCAAAAATGCGTAACTTGTCATCATTTAAACGACTAGCTGTGGACTCGTTTTATGGATTAAGTTACCATCGTATCCGACTATCAGTTTTTTGCACTATTACGTCTACTCTTTGTCGTTGCAAGAACATTATGCAAATATGCAACAAGCAAACCTGTTGTCTCTGGAAAACTGTACGGGACTCGGAAGTCAGCTGCTTAACGTTCACAATATAGAACAATTCTGTAATTATGATAATAATAGCGGTAGTTTTATTATTAGCGGTGAAATCAAAGGTTTAGTGACATCATGTGAAGGAATTTGACAGGACCGTCTCAAAAGCATTTGCTTGTCTTTTTGTTTTTATGTTTACAGAAACATATTTTCATAATAGTTTTTGCTTTACACATTGCTTGCGTTGTTGCTCTACACAGTTTTGAACCTTATTTACTTCTCAGCGATTTCCCACGTAATATTTTTCCAAATCGAAATCTCATCGAAGGTTGGATCAAGGAAGTGCTTTCAAAAGCATAGTACGCAATAAGTCGCAAAATTTTGTGCCGGAAATGTAATTCTCGAAGAAGATCGTTGGCACCTATCAGCAGCCGACGACGACCACCGGAAGGTAAAAATTGATGCTGAGCTTCTAAAGACTGTTTGAAAGGTTGCATAACAGCTCAACGTAATCGATCAATAATCGTCTATCATTTGTACACGGAAAGTGGGCTTAGTAAAACTAAAATAGTCGGTGTTATAAAGTTCGCTCTCCATGTCTTTATTAAACCTAAACTAGCCATCATTCCGCGATATGATGTACGATTAAAACTGAATTCTGTTATACAATCGACGACGGTTTGACTGAGGGAAAGCTTTTACAAACCCCACGACCGACTTTCTTGACTTTCTTTTAACCTCGGTATTGATTGATAATTCGATGTTTTTCTTCAATAAGCAGACACGAGGTTGTTATTACAGGATTTATTAGGATACAATAGCTGACGTTTCGACGGTTTCGCCTTCTTCAGAGCCTGTAAAGGTCAAATTGAGATGCGATCTACCCAGCCAAACACTTTCATAACCCCAGCAGATAAAACTTGACAAATCGACTTGCATTCGCATAAGAAACAGCTTCATTCGAACACCTACCGTTTATTTGTTGTAAGTATTTAAGTTAGTTGGTTAGTTGGTGGATAGCAGCCGCACAGAGTAATACATGGGCGATAACTGTGTCTGTGTCAGGTCACTGGATTAGCCTGAGGTATAAACGCTTCAAGAGTTTTACGCGCTGTTTTTGATTCGATCCTTTGGAGGAGAGTAGTGGGTGGGTCAATTTTGATTTGCGATTCTATTAGGTCAAATGCTAAAGTAACCTTAATCAGAAAGTTTCAAAATTTACTAGATCATTCGCAAAATCCAGCTTCAATTAACAAAACAAAATCGTTTACCAAAGCGCTAGCACTAAAAATGTGGTCGATAACGTGCCTGAAATGTCAAGGGTCACCGTGTTAGGAGGCATAACTCTGCCTGATGACGCGCGGTCGCTATTAGAATTTGGTCCAAGCTTCTCACCAGCGCAACCCATTTCTAAAGAAACCTTGCGTAGGATCGCGTGCAGCCTGCACGAGCTCCAAGATCGACTCCGAAGCAACGCTAGAATTGAGACACGAAATAAAAAGGAACAACGAGAAGTAGGGGCACTACCGCCACCTCCATTTCCTCGGTTATTCTTTAGACAGAAAGACCCAAACGACGAAGTTGATATAAAATTTCGTATATTTTCGAGCGAAACACTCAAAGTCCTTAGCCACTATCGCGCGAAAGGGTTTAGTTCGAACCTTACGGCTGCCTAAAATCTGGTAAGCGACAGGTTCGAGAGCTAATAAAATCAAAGACTATTAGGTTATCAGTTAGTGATAGGGGTGGAGAGTTTGTAGTAATTCCTCGCCAGTTAGTTGTCGATAAAACAAAAAAGCATCTTGAAGACGCATCTCTTTATCGCGCATCTACTGAAAAGGAATTCAGAAGTCGAAATCGAAAACTGAACAACGAGTGGGTCAAAATGGCAAACGCAGCAGGTTTAAAACCAGCAGACATTTCGCATCTTAAGATCGAAGTGCCGACATGCCCTGTCTTATACTTATCAAATGCCATAAGTTAATATCCGCTGATGATCTGGCGTCTACCGACCCTTCCATCTTTAAAGTTAGACTCATCATCGGTTGTGTAGACGGGCCTACGGATAGAATTGCTTCGTTTATAAATCTTATTCTCAACCAGTTGCTTAAGCACATACCATCCCATCTCACGAACACCCAAATGTTTCTAGACCGTCTGCGCAACGCACATCCCAAAAGTGCGTACATTATGGAGTCATTCGACGTTACCGCCCTTTACACTACCGTGTCGAACGATTCCGCAATGCATGTCATCCGAGAGCTTCTTGAGCAACACGAAGGAGCAATTAACATGTATGGCTTTTCGATTCAGCAGTTTATGGTCCTCCTAAAGGTCTGTTTAAAGTACTAGATCTTCAGATGGTCCGGGAAATATTACACGCAAATAAGCGGATTGGCAATGGGACAGCGACTGGTACCAACCCTTGCCGTTGCCTTTATGTCTAAAGTGGAAGCATCAGTAATCGATCTCAGGCCGTTACTCTACTGTACGCATATAGATATTTTGTCATCTGCTCCACACAAGAGGAGATGGACAAATGCTTTGAGTTATTGAACGAACAGTCAGAGTACATAAAATTCACCCGTAAGAAACCAAAAGAAAACTGGCTTCCATTTCTAAACGTTCAAATCAACCTATCCGAAAACGGCTACAACACAAAATGGTATCGAAAGCCAAGCAGTAAGAATATAGTGGCTCATTACCCCTCCTCTCATCCCTCACACACTAAAAGGGCGCTTATAAGAAATATGTTTCGAACTGCTGCCAGCGTGTGCACAGGTACAGAGCAGAGGGAAGAATCCTCGAAACTAGTGCGCCAAATAGTCATTTCAAATGGTTACAAAACTGTAGCTTCTCGGCATAGGCATAGAGGAAAACCCACACCCCAGAGCGATAGTTCTAACGAAAACAAGGCTCCGTTCCTCTTACCCCTTATTTCTAACGAAATAAGTGCAGCTATAAAACGTTGCTTAATAAGGGCCGGTCTAGAGAATTCTGTAAGAGCGATAGAAATACTATCGGAGACTCTACGACGCCAGCTAGTTAGCAACCGCCTATATGATCGTCTATGTAAAACGAAAAACTGCATAATTTGCCCTAACGGTAGAGACGGTGATTGCATGAGTTCGGGTACAGTTTATCTGATTTCCTGTAAGGCGTGCAGAAAAGAATACATTGGCGAAACTGGTAGACCGCTCTGTGTCCGCATAAGAGAAAATCTAGCCGGCAAATCTAAATTAAAACCTAAATTAAAACCAAACACTCCACTAGGCGCGCATGTGATGCAGGAACACAACGAAGAAGATTTCGAAGCAGGAGTCACTGACCTCACGCACGAATCGAAAACATCAGCGCGTAAAACTCTTGAAGCGTTTTGGATCAATGCCAAAAATTCAAAAATGAACCGTAAGGAGCAGTGTTTTGTCATCACGCGTGACCTGGCGCCATACCTCAGGCTAATCCAATGACCTGACACAGAAACAGTTATCGCCCACGTACTACGTAGCAGCCGTATCTGTGTGGCTGCTATCCACCGACTAACTTAAATACTTACAACAAATAAACGGTAGGTGTTTAAATGAAGCTGTTTCTTATGCGATTACAAATTTACTTCTTAAGCTTTATCTGCTGTGGTTATGAAAGTGTTTGGCTGGGTAGATCGCACCTCAATTTGACCTTTCCAGGCTCTGAACAAGGCGAAACCGCCGAAACGTCAGCTATTGTATCCTAATAAATCCTGTAATAGTAACCTCGTGTCTGCTTATGAAGGGAAAACATCTACTTTTACAAACATCTGGATTTTCCTTACCGGGGAGCAGCGCACTTCATGACCACACCATCCGGGTCCTTCGTCTTGCCTGTCTCTCAGCTAGTTCTATCGATCTCTCTGTCATCAGCAATCACCCGTCAACGGGATTGATCTGGGGAGCCAATATCGGCATTGAACCCAGTTAAGCTGAGGCTTAGTTATAATCACAGTCTTAACCCTTTTATTTACTGCCTTTTTCTTTTTAATGGCAGGGTATGTTGCGAAATATAACTCGTATGTAATGATGAGATATTTGCAAAACTCCGGACCGCAGGTGTATGCGGTGGGGAACGAACACGCGCTGTTGTCCTTACCGGGGAGCAGCGCACTTCACTACCACTCAGCTTAACTGGGTTCAATGCCGATTTAGGCTCCCCAGATCAATCCCGTTGACGGGTGATTGCTGATGGCAATTTTCAATTTTCAATTACGATTTTCAATTTTCAGAAGGTACACCTCAGCCCCTGTTAGAACAGGATGGACCATCCGGGACCGGGACCCGGATGGTGTAGTGGTGAAGTGCGCTGCTCCCCGGTAAGGACAACAGCGCGTGTTCGTTCCCCACTGCATACACCTGTGATCCGGAGTTTTGCAAATATCTCAGCACTTCATACGAGTTATATTTCACAACATACCTTGCCATTAAGAAGAAAAAGGCAGTAAATACAAGAGTTAAGATTCAATTAATAGACTTAATTACGATCTTAAATGCATTGACTACAAACTAAAAATACTCTAATATTCAGACATATATGTATTAAAACTAATCCATGCAGTAAGTGCTTGTGTAAGCTACGCATATACTTACTTACTTGGACGGCCGTCCTCACTGGTTGTGCGGGCTCCAGCATAACCTCTAACTTTTCAGAGTTTTGCTAGTTTAGCCATTATCGTTCCCTGGAGCTCTGAGGTTAGCCTGGCCAAAGTATGCCCCAAGTCTTCACCACCACAGGCAGTCGCAGTGCTTGTGGATCAGAGGTAGATTTACCACCACGCGACTTTGATACCAGGTCGGTGGTTGATATTAGCATTGATTTACTCTTAGCTGGGCTTCCTGACGGAAACACCGGACTCGTTCTTAGCTTGGGAGACCCCGAAGGGGTGATGAATCCTCTTGCTTTATTTATATCGCAGTCCAACACCCAGGAACACCTCCCAGTCGCGATGAGGCGGTACACTGTTAGGGGGAAGCAACGCATAGAAAGGCATAAAATTCATTTTAAAACAAGGTAGGTCTAGAAAGATGAAGAAGCTACTTTTTGCAGGATAGCCAAATTTTTCCTTTGCAAGTGCTCATATATTGAACGCAAAGGAGTGAGAAGTTCGGATGGCAAGGATTCAGCTGATGATCACGTAACAAGTGAACGTGTGTGCTCGAATAGAGGTTATATAGGAACGGAAACAGGTTAGCGACTATGCAATAAATAGCAATTCTCAATACAGTTCAAACGGCTGAATGTACTGCTCACCATCACATTGTCTAGTTTTGTGGGGGTACTTCAAGTGGATCATCTTCTCAGGTGTTAGAAAACCAAGATACTTCTACGTCGGTAAAAAAAAGATTTGCAGCCATCTTATAAGTTTTTGGCAGCTCACTGTGCCTATCTAAATGGGTAGAGAAGGTTACTTCCACCGGAATGTGTACAGTCACAAATCAGAACTGCAAATTTAAAACGAAACTTAGGCGTTTTTCCTGTACATATTAAGGGTTTGCTATTACTTCACTTCATGAATAAACATGCAGCATGTTCTAGAACAAAGTTACTAAAGAAGTCCCTTTCACAACCAAAAAAAAAACACATATGAGACTAAGAAATACAAATTAAAGAAGAAAGGGGTTCAAAGTTCACTTCGCGATCGGCTTACCGAGCTCCCATTTTGAAGAAACGTGACCCAGCCGGAACTGATTGGATAAACTGACTCGCCTACTTACTATTTAAGACAACATCTAAAAAACGAACAAGTCACCTTCTCTTCCAAACGAGGTCCAAGTGTTCGGCAAGGTCCGCACCAATCGGCGTGAAAATCGACGACCACGGGAGATGTCGAATTGATAACCTATATTACACAGACGATAACTCTTATTTATTTATAACCTTATTTTTAGAAACTTTTCAACTAAATATTAAGATCGTCAACTTCTCTTTTTTTGGTCCCACTTGTTTACATAACGATGCAAACTAGACATTTCAAAGTGTTCAATCTGCAGAGATCTTCGAGGCTGTTTCTTTTAAAGCGATAAGACCCAATAACTAAAACTCTAGAAAGGGAACATATGCAGTCGGAAAGCGGCTCCAAGTGAAGATGTACGACATTTACATCAGCTTGGGTAGAGATAACTGGCCTTGTGAAGTCGTGAAATTACCGAAGAACTGCTAGATAGCTCACTTGTTCACACTTGGGTGACCCATTTCCAACATTCTGCATGAATCAGCATTGCTTCGGTCCATTTCATTTTTTGCAACAGTGATCCACAGAGGTGGCCGAGTTCGTAGATTGGTTCAGTTCCGTCTTGAAAATCTACTTTCTTACCAGTAATATTTTGAATGCTGGCTTAAAGTGGTTCTCTATGGGGTACTGTGCTCGCCTGGGCAAAGCTCTCTCAGTTCCAATCATCACAAGCATTCGATGAACTTTGTGAATGGGCGGGTTTTATACGTGCGAATGGAATTCGCTCACGAGTGCAGCATTTCCGGCGATTAGGCGTCAGACCGATAAAAGGTTCTATAAAGAGCCAGTAAAAACACCATTGTCAAAATGAAATCTCTTAAAGCTAACCTTTTATTTTCTGCCTACTACAGTTTTTCACGTCAGACTATGATGTGGAATACATCCACACCAACGCTGAGATATTCGCAAAGCTTGGACCCTGGACCAGATCGAACCAGGACTACTCTTCCGGAGGCTCGAATATTACAAACTGCACCACTGAGGTCCTTGCTTTGCGTTTCTTTCAGCTAGTTTAATCTCTTGAGTTCTACCTCGTTAAACATTGACAACCTTACGTGCAAATGAAAATACACAGTCAATTAAACTGGTAGTTACTCAAAACAGAGATTCAAAAGAAATGAAAAGTAAGCTTCCAGGAAGAAGCATATCGACGTAAGCAGAAGCCTACTACGTATCACTTGGAATCTGTCGTCGAAGTCAGAAAGCTCTTAGAGAATATAGCGGCTCACGAACCTTTTTTGTGAAGTCGTCAATGGTTTCGACATCAAAAACAACATTTGTAGAACACGAACGTCCCGGAACCACGGTCGACAGAGGCCACAACGAGCGCTTTGCTACTGATGGACAAGCTGCGATACGATGTAAAACTCGTCCCAATCTTTGCATGTAAGTCTGAAAAAGTTTTGTAAAGCGGACAGCAAGACAGCAGTCGCAAGTGAAGACCAGACAATCCCACAAAATAGGGTTTAAAAGAAAAAACAAACTGTACGCTAAAGGCAAACGACGTCCTGTTTTTGAGCAGACGTTCAGGGAGCAGGAATTGGCGACAGGACAGTCTGATCATTGGGTTTTGAACTGGTTTCTGATCTTCTGCACTTCTTCAGTTAGCGTTTTACTGGAGCAGAGCAGCACTTCGTTGAATCATTCCGGAAGTTTCAGTTCGGATTCGCTTGTCGATCATGTTCGAAGCCTACTCTGCGAACGAGGTCGCCATGAAGTTACCTCTTGAGGTCACATCTATCGCATGTCAGAGTAGGCCTTTAACCTGTAATTTCGTCCGATGGTTTTGTGCTTCTAACTTTCTTTGAAGTAAAAATCTTGGAAATTTCTTTATCCGTCTTTTTAATGAGCGAATGGTATTTAAGATAACCACGAAACCTTTTTCTTTCTTAACCATAGGGTTAACGTGGCACAGTATTTGGCTATGCAGTTCAAGTACGGTTGCATGGCCCACCCCTCAGGTATTGATCAACTCCGAGAGCTTTACCCTTTTATCCTTTAATCCGAAGTCAAAACTGCTCGGACTTGCGTAACGACTTTAAAGCGGTGTTGAGTCACTATGTCCTTAACCACTGTTTGAGCGTGTTAGGAGTGCATAAGAGCGAATGGCTTTGAAATGATGATGGAATGTGAGTTGGAGTTTGTTTACTCATTCAGTGATCCTATGATACAGCTTTTTCATGGTCATGTGGCAGTGTGTTCACCGGCAGCAAAGTTGGCCAGCTCTTTGTCTACAGTCCCAAGAGAACAGGTGAGTCTTACAGCTATTGTGTTTGGTTATTCTCTTGGCAGTTCTTCACTTCCCAACCACTAAGGTGACCTGCAGTTAGATTTGTTATCTAATTCCCCCAGTTCTCGGAATCACAATGTTTGCCTTTTTATTTTGTTAGATACAACCAAAATGATGTTGAGATATTCGCAAAACTTGGACCCAGGACAGAGCGAACCACGATCACCTTTTCCGGGGGCTCGTGCATTTCACAGTGCACCACTGAGCCCTTCCTTTGCCTTTCTCTCAGTTAGTTTACTACCTAACGCCGCCATCAGTAATTACCCGTCAATGAGAGCCTCACTTAACTGGCTTTAGTGCCGATTTGTGCTTTTCAAATCAATTCCGGTGGCGGGTGGTTGCTAACAGCAGCGTTAGGTAGAAAACTAACCGAGAGAAAGGTAATGCAAGAGCCTCAGTGGTGCAGTGTGTAATGCGTGAGTCCCCGGAAAGGATAATCGTGGTTCGATCTGGCCTGGGGTCTAAGTTCTGCGAATATCTCGGCTTCATTTATGGTTGTAGCTTCCAGTTTTGTTCGAAGTGTTTGACACCGTTCCTGATTTCATAGGTTATTATTAGGTCGTTTTCTTATTAGAAATTTGTAGATGATGGCTAAAACTAACTGAGACTCGTAACACTTCTATTCTAGGTCGTCGCGGTTTCGATCTGGATAACCTATGTAAGCAATTTGAGAGGAAAGCAGTTCTGGATCTCACTGTATGTGAGGAGGTAGAAGTTCTCCTTTGTGTATCCGATGGTCAAATGGCTGCTCACTGTCTAAGTTAGTTTCAGTTAGAGAAAAAATTAGATTGTAGTAGGCTACCAAAGTGTAGATGCTATATTTTCTTAAAGAGAGTCGTCACTATCCCGTCATTGCAATACTTCATAAGGTCAAACCTATTCATTGTTTCGCAACATGGATGCATGAGGTAAATCTCTTAGTTTGCCTCGTTAGTTTTACTTCTCCTATTTCCGCGTGTCTGTTAAATCAACAGTTCACCTTCGCTTCTTTTTTTGCGACTAATTGGCATGAGACCTGTGGAGGGAGATACGTGGGTGGATCCAGATAAAGAGGAGAAATAAATAAAAGTCTTCCCGAACATCTGGAGAAACTGCTGATACTACGAATATTTCTACTAAACGACTCGGAGTGTGTTTTTTACTATCTCATTGGGAACCGATTTTTCCAACACTCGCCAATTTCGTGATTCGAGTTTTTACGTTTTTTTTTGCTTGGAGTTAAGAAACTTCATTGTAGATTGTCGCTTGTAGAAATTTCTTCCACTGCTGAAATTTTGCCAAGGTTTCCAGTGTTTTTAATTTTTTTTATCACAGGGGTAAAGTCTGACTGAAGAAAAATGTAGGCAGTTTTTATTTAGGACTCTCATGTTATGTACATATTTATTTCTTCAAAGAAGAGATTATTTCTTTTTAAATGGATCGACAAGGATTTTCATGAAATTCGGTTTGAATACAACCAATCGTTTCCGGATAAGCCAAACACTATGAGGTAAAGTGTCCTATTTAGTTTTCCCATTTACCCTACATCTTTATCCTATCCATCTATCTTTCTATCTCTACTTCACTCTACTTCCCTGTTGTCTTCCCACTTGTTCTTCTATTCTTAAAAGGGAAGAAAGCGCATATGTAATCTAGTTTGCTTGGTCAAAATTATAAACCTGTTCTAGAGTGGTAGGCAACACTATCTTACTCAGCTGCGGTCGAGAGTACTTGCTGATAAGCCTTACCAGAACCACGAGTGGAGATGAGGAGGTAGATTGGTACTCTTTTATCTATAAAACATTGGTCAATTCTTTCAGTTTGATGACCTCATTTAGTAATTCCAGTCATGGTGTGGCGAATGTCGTCGATTATTTGAGTTCAGTGATAATCCGGCTATACTAGAGATGACCGACCGTAACCTTCTCGGTTTTGCTCACGGAGATACTCTGGTGTTGACAAATTTCCAAGGACAGAAGACACCACTGGCGGATTTACGGTTTAGTGACGTTCCTTTGGATCTGGGTTAGTTCAAATTTACATCAGTGAAAAGTTGTCTTACTATGACAAGAAATTTGGTTCTGCTGTAAATATAGTGTTCTAGTGTACGACTCTCCATATGTAGTGGCGCTGTTACCAAGAGGACAAGTCGAAATACGGTCGGTGAACCCACCATATCTCATCCAGAGCATGGTACTGAGCAAAGCGTCGTTACTAAGCTCAGGAAATCCGTGAGATTATCGTTATATTGATTGTATTATTTGACGAAATTTAGGCTCACTAGTTGATCGGTTCTTTTTTTCGAGATGAACTGTATGATCGCTTAAGATTCTCTATTTTTGGCCACTAGCCTTTTTTCAAGTCATTGTTCTTCTTTACCAGAGACAAATCGTCATGTTCAGAGGATATGTATTCGTTGGTAGTCCTTTCGATGTCTGGTTGTTGGACGCGCATAGTAATATTCGTAAAAATGTTTCGCTCCTCGTCGCTGAGAAGCAGTTTGATTTGGCCATACAAATTGTGGTACGCTTTCTACAGAGGATTAAAAAGTAGTTTAAAAACGTTCAAACGAAAAAACATCGTGATAAGTTCAGGAGTTGTCGAATGTGTTCAGTGATGAGAACAAGACTGAAATAAAAAGGCAGGCTGCTCTTAATCTTTTCCACCGGAAGAAGTTTGAGGAATCATTTCAGTTACACGCTGAGATAAAGACCGGTGCGTTCTTTACAGTTTTTTGCTTTGGTGTTACATATTTTACTGGCTTCTAATTCACTGATCCGAAAATGGCTTTTCACAATAGGTTTTCGGTATAAATAGTATTTTTGTTTCAAAACCGTCGTCCACACTCCTGTAACTTCTGTAGACTCCCAAAGAACTCAAGTCCTCTTCTGCTACCAATAGCTCCTTTCCTTTTTTTTACCGCCATGAGTTTGCGTATTGCTGAAGTTGCCTTTCGTTTACGCCTTAAGCAATCCTTAAATCCCTCTCTGCTGCCACGACGGTTTTGATCCACTGGAACCGTTTGGAGGCGCAATTCCTTTACCACGTTCGCAATTAGGAGGTGAGAAAACTAATAATGGAAAAATATTTCTGTTTCTTTGGTACATATTGTTCAAAAAATAAAAGTATAAAGCACTCGGTGTGGATAAATCCCTGAGGGATGCTTCGTGCATTCGACTTCATTAAGCATCGCTGGGGGTGACTGAATGCATATCTGGCCTTTACAATGACTCGCTGTGGCCTACCGATGTATTAAGGCAATACCGCTACTCTCCCAGATAAGTTTGGTGCCAGTTTGCTGACCAAGGATTGTTGGAAGGCTTGGTGAACGCTGGGGTGGAATCGAACCAACTACCGCGAGTGCACTGCAGGGCGCCTCCGACCACCGCGCCACGCGTGCCAATGGTACATATTCTTGCGCTCTAAAAGGTGCTTGGTTTTACCTGTAGAGGTCTTTACCGGTTTTTGTTTTGCATTGATTGAGTTGCATAAACCCAATCAACCTTGTCATAACTCGGAGAATTTATTGCGTTCTGACTCAGTTCGTTTTAGATGTTATCACAATCATACAAATGTTTCCGGAGTTCTTGCCCGAAAAGCTTCAGAAGAAAGCTGCTGCATTCGATCTTCCAGCAAATGACAAGAAAAGGGCGTTGCTTGCGTTGGGAAATTACCTTTCTGCGGTATGATTTTCTATTTTTCTTATAATTCCGATTAGCTGACTTTGCTTAAGATTTACGCATTGCTGTTTATGAACCAGTTTGGAATATAGGTTCGGTCGGATTTGTCAAAACAGTTGGAGCTTCACCATCGTGAGAAAGTCCACAACCAGCCAACATCAAATGCAGACCATTTAAAAAATCTTCACATTTCCTTGCAAGTAGTTGACACTGCTCTTCTAAAATGCTATTTACAGGTAACCGCATTTCACTAGTAACGGAGCATCTGATAGTCTCTCCTTACGTTATCAACACACCATATTTTGTTCAGACAAGACCTTCCCTTGTTGATTCATTGCTTCGTTTACATAATAACTCTTGCTTCTTCGAGGATGCCGAATCTATTTTATTGGCAGAAAATCGGCTACCTTCCCTATTCATACTATACGAATCAAGGAAGAAGCATGAAATGGGTATTTCGCTATTTCCTGTTTTTACCTTTGTACTGGAAAGATTCGTTCGCATATGAAATAGTATTCTTCCAGCCCTCGAGCTTCTTAAGACGCAAGCTCAGGACCACGAGTCAGACCCATTCTTCCATGGATTCAACCAAACTGTCACTTATCTTCAGACACTGGGGAACACACACTTAGAGCTGATATTCAAATATGCCCGTTGGGTGCTTGATAAAGACATTGATAGCGGTCTTGAGGTTGTTTCTGTTTTCCATCTATGTCTATTCTTCCACCCTAATGTCTTTTCTTTTCTTCAAAGATTTAAGTGGTCTGTTTGTGAAAACTCTTTCGCAAATTTTTGAAATCTTTATTTCCTTAGCTTTTGTGCGAAAATATAGCTTTGAAGATTTTCATTGGAGAGGAGTCTGACCTGGCACGAAATCTTGATCGGCAAGCTGTTTTTGCATTTCTTCGATCAAATTATGTCGCAGCTGTCATACCATATCTAGTGAGTTGTAAGTTGATTATCATGAATTCGGCGGTATGACAGCTAACGTTTTGATTTGGCTGCACCACTCTTTCTTCTCAAGCTCCATCGTGGCTAAGAGGTGTTCCTGGGCGTCGGGTTGCGAAGTACAGCAGGGAGATTCACCTTCCAGCAGGGCCTCCTAAACTGAGAATGAGTTCGGTGTTTCCATCAGGAAGCCCAGCCAAGAAAAAACCAATACCATAATCCATCGCCGTCTTGGTATCAAACTAGTCACATGGTGGCAAATCCCCCTTGATCCAAAAGCGGTGCGACTGCTTATGATGATAACGACCTGGCGCAGACTTTGGCCAGGCTGTCTGCGGGACTCCACAGGAATACGATAGCTAAACCAGCAAAACTCTGAAAAGATGGGGGTTATACTGGCGCCCGCACAACCAGTGAAGACGGGCTATCCAAGTATACCACTATTAATTTCTTCATAGTGTACATAGGTATTTTTAAGACTTTATGATATATATCTTTTACTCTGTCGTTTGTTTCATTACTTGTTTGTTCTAATTAGGAGCATCTAGTCTACATATGGGAGGAAACACGCCCGTTATTCCACGATGCACTTGCTGAATATTATATAATAAGAGTGAAACTGTTATTTCAAGACTACGTACACACCTTTCCAGATGGTGAGCAAGAAATTTTATCAGTTCACTTCTTTAATATTATCGAATCATCACATGGATTGTTAGTTTTCACTGAATGATATCAGTCTTCCTGCAGTTGAAAGTAGTTTGATGAAATTTCTGACAATAGTTGCTAATGTTTTCTGCACTGTACCCATTTTGGAATAATTAATGACTTTTCTGTTCAGATGAGAACATCATTCGAGTGGGAGACGAGGATGGTGAGCTAGGAAGGATGCGACGTCGCTTAATAAAATTTCTCCAATGCTCACTATACTACAGTCCACAAGCCGTACTCCTTCAACTTAATAATTGTGGTCAGTCTACAAGCAGTACCCATTCGGTTTAATAGTTGTCTACTTCAAGAAGAAACGTGGGTTAACGTCTAGCAAGTGTCCACTTCAGTTCCATAAACTTCTACTTGGGCTATTCTCATCGGATTTTAGGTTTTGCCATTATGAAGTGAATTTTTTAACGGCTTTGTAGTAATGCTTTATACCTTATGGGTGTGGTTTAGTGATAGCATAAGATAAGCAGCTTACTATGGAAGAATCCATGCTTTAGAATTTGTTTTTTTTATATGACACATCTTCACGTCTACTGTGCGGATCCCAGCACTTCTCACATTCGATTCGTTCCCTCGCATATATCGTCCACGAAGATCTTCCTACTTTTACATGTGGCTTCGGCTACTGCTTGAGGATTCTCATTTCATCTTGAATATCATAGAATGGTAGTTGAATCGATTATCCCTGGAGTATTGAGATAGTCGGGCTGGAGCGTTCTCAATTAAACTGCGCAGAGTAATTTTTTCCCAGACAAGTCCGCCACCAATTTCCCGACTCCGGAGCGATGAGAGGCTTGGTTGGCCTGGATCGGAATCGAACTAGCACCACGCTAGTGATAACCGACACCACTACCACTGTGCCATCAGCCCCATTTAGAATTTGTTTATTTTTTAGAACTGGAAGGTAAGGTCATCCGTTGGCAATCAACTATGTTTCAGTATTTTACGAGGAGAGGGCACTTCTGCTCGGCCGACTGAAACACCATGAGCAGGTTCTGGTTACAGTCTTTGTTCTTTGTACGCATTGCTCTCATTTTATGGCATTCGATCCTTTCTGTTATTTGTGATCGTCTTAACCTTGATTAAGGCCCTAGCAATCTACACATCCATTTTGAATGACTTTGAATCAGCAGAAGAATACTGTCGCATTTACTATGACCGAAATGATGAAATCAATTCCCAGGTATATCAAAGTTTCTCCAGTCCTTTCTATAGTAGAAGTGAAGCCTTCCTTTTTAAGGTGTACCTTTATCTCTTTCGCGCCTTTGTCAAGCCGTCAGATCCTGTGATTGCCGGTATACTTGAAAAAGATCTTCCTACACCTGAACCGGATATCCTCAGTGCCATTCGGGTATTGAATAGACACGCAGATAAAATTGATACCGGTAAGCTGACCAACTTGAACCTTAAAAATATACAAAACATGCGGGCGTTAAATACAAACTGTAAGTTAAAATAAGTCATAAAAGCTGTTACAGTGGAATCCAAAGTATTCAAAATGTCTGTTAGTGCTATATGAAGGCTGCCAATTTTTGAACGTTTAGCTTATGCTCTTCAATTGATACCTACGGATTCATTGTTGTCTACATTGTCCAAAGCACTGCACACTGTTCTACAAACAACTCAGGATAATGCGAGCGCAGTGAGTTTAAATTTCTATCGGTGAGACGAAGTTGAAGTTTTTACCTAGGTGCTGTTCCATTCTTCATGGACTCTGGAAATCCAACTGTGTGGTACCTCTTTTCGTATTTCTATCTTCGCGAAGTGTTTGAAAACGATTATTTCCAAAATTCGAGAATATGAAGTTGCTGGAAATATGTGAACGGGAAAATTTAGTTTCAGTTTTTGGTATAGAGCTGTATTCCTACATTTGTGCCCAAATCGTGAATTTGTTGAGATTTTAGTCCATTTCGCTCGCACCACCAGAATATGAGAACATTAGCGAAGTCACGCGTTAGTGCTGTTTTTTGTTCGCTGCAGTTTGGATGATAGGTAACTTTGGGAATTCTCGTTGGACATTTGCACCCACTTGTTGACTAATTCTTTACTACAAGCCTTAAAGTTGCGATACATATTGGGTGAAGGCGTCCCCTATTTTTACTAAGAATCGTTTCCCCATTTCGGTATTTACTTAACTTCTACATGTTTTTATTGATTCATATGTCGAAGCATGCCCTTCTACTTGAGCAAGTAATGCTTTTTATTCCAGTTTGCTCTCCAGCGGTCCATTAGTGCGTGTGGTATTGCATCCCATAAGGAGAGACTTCGTCATGTCTTGAGCCAACGAATAGTGGTTGGAAATGCAAGTGAATGCTGCAAATGTGGCAAGCGTATTGGCAACAGGTGAATTGTGCAATTATTGAATTCTTTCTTTTTTTTGTTTCTGTATTTACTTGTTTAGCGCTTTTGTTCGGTATCCTACCGACGGCTGTTTGGCACACTTTGGTTGCCACAAGGATACATCGGAAAAAATTCTGTCATAGTCTAGTAGCCATCCAATACCTCTGCTCTTTTTTACACACTCGTCTTGAGCTCCATTCTTTTATGTTTTAAGTGGAAATAATACTGACTACAAACAATTTGTTCTAGTTTGGAACTTTGTTTTCATAGAATAATTCACTGATGTTTTGTGTAGAGATATGAGTTACACTCCCCTCCATCTAATTTGAGTTATTAACACTCATTTCTATGAGATATCCGCTTACGAGTACTGTAGCCTTCTCATCTAAGAAGTGAGTTCTTTCCATCAGCATGTTTACAAAACATGAATGTAGTTTTCGTTGACTATCAGAATTAATGAACAGAAATGCAGTTCATCTGCTTGCACTTGTACTTTTTTATTCTTTATATTCGGTGCCTGTACTGTGTATATTAATAATTTTATATTTCTCTTCTTTCTTTCTTCGTATATTTCTTCATTCTTCACTTGCATTATCTCCATTGCTTGTTCTCTGCCTGTTCTTTTGAAAAATTGTTGAAACCGTTTTTGAATTATCTGTCTCGACTCTGTTTGTGTTTCTGTATAGACTTACTGCAGGTTTTTAGTAATCTCGATGCCACAAAGAGTTGTATTTCGATCATTTTCTAAGCCGTAATCTGCCAGCCGTAAGCGGGATTAATCAGTCAATTAATTAGGAGGCGAAGATGTTAGGTTGTCAGTAGATCAATACATGTTTTGGGTGATTCTCGCGCCAGGTTTTGCTAAGCAATTAATTGAATTTGGTGGAATGACATCTTTGTTTTCACTCCATGATCTTTTGGACGCTTTTCTTCTTGGGTTTTATCCCTATAAAAAGCCAAAAATTTTGACGTAATTTTTGTATGTAAACGGCTTCTCTCATTTGTGAATACATCCAATCAAGAAAGAACGACTAAGCGTTGAACCTTGAATTTTTTGTTTGCCAATCGATTTTGCCGTTATCCATGAGTTTTTTTTATCAGTCCAATTTAACGCTAGATTAGCCATTTTACAGTATTATTAGCCTTCCAACTAAGCGCATGAAATGAGCGTTGAGTTGAAACAAAGAAAAAAAAGATAGTTCCCAGGATCGACTTTCTATTAACCTCGGCATGGGAATATGAATGCGTCGTTTTCTTGTTCAGCAATCGCGAGGTTTTTTAAAAAGAAAGTCCCGTTTATGTTGCCTTTTCTAAGCGATGAAGTAAGCGTAGCTATAAAATGATGCTTAAGAAGGGCAGGTCTAGAGGAATCGGTAGCGATAGTTGAAATACCACCAGCTACTTTACATCGTCAATTAGTTCATAACCGTCTGTATGACCGTCTATGTGAAGCAACAAATTGCGTAATTTGCCCTTACAGCAGGGAAGGTGACTGCATGAGTTCAGGTACGATGTACCTGATCTCTTGTGGTACTTGCGGAGACGAATATATTGGCGAAACGAGAAGACCTCTGTGTATCCGTATAAAAGAACACCTAGATGGCAAACGAAAACTAGGACGAAGCACCCCACTAGGCACGCATAGGATACAAAAGAATAGCGGAGACGATTTTGAAGTAAAAGTGAATACCCTTGTACTGGAGACTAAAACACCAGTTTGAAAATTTCTTGAGGTTTTTTGGATAAATACCAAAAACCTTACAATGAATAGCAGAGAGGAATGCCCGGAGGTCATACGCGACATGATCCCGTACGTTCGCATCGATTTTTGATGTGGGATGGTGCAGTCGTCAACCACATGCGACTATAATCAGCTGTTCTAAACTTCCTCATTGGAAGTCACGAAAAAGCGGTGGGTTTTTCGAGAAGCTGTTGATCATGTAGTTACTATAGAGTTTGAGGTTTCTCGACTGCTTTGCTTGTTGACATGTCAAATGCTGGCTCAGCGTGGTTTCATGTGGAATCTTGAAGTAGTCGTGTAAAAGAATTCCCAGTTCTTCTCCAAGCAGTCCCGGGATTTTGTGAAGAATTCGTTGCCTTGTGCCTGCTGCTCTGATATGAAAACAGCTATGCCTCTGACAGCAACCTACATTGCGTTCACAAAAATGCGAACAGTTGCGCACTTTCCCTCTAACTTCTATGGTGCTGATTTAGCAGTTTCTTCCCTATAGCCTCAAAGAACTTGTGCTTGGGTGTTCCAGTGTTGCTAAAATATGCAATCGCAGACTCATTTGCCCATTTGCAGACGTCGGCGATTCCTGGCATTGGTTTATTCGTAGCTTTTGTGTGCCTGCAGCGGGTACGAAATCTCTCCACCACTGTGGATCACAGTTTGGCATCAAGTAATACTCTCAATCACGATGAGGTGACAAAAAATAGTTCTTTATATTTCTGTTTAGCAAACACGAAGTGTTATTTAATGACACCTCGTATTTGCTGAACAGAAATATAAAGAATCATTCAATCAATGTCGAGGTTAATAGAAAGTCGGTCGTAGGATTTACAAAATATAACGCCCACGACCGACTTTCTATTAACCTCGGCATTGATCAAGTAGTTCTTCGTACTTTTGTTGAGCAAACGCGAGGTTTTATTATTCTTTATTCACGAATAAGCTGACGTTTCGGCGGATTTCGCCTTCCTCAGAGCTTCGAAAGGTCAAGTTGATAGCAATCTACTCGGCCAGACGCCTCCATAACCAAACAAAGAAACTCTAAACCAAGATTTCAATCACATTGAACACAGCTTTGCACACTCACCGCTTCCTATGAGGTTTCCACTAAGTATGTCACGTAGAGACCAACCGCACAGAAATCACATGGAAGCATAATGTGCCCCTCCCATCAGAATAACAGTCTTACATACTGCCCCCGTGATAATGAGGCATTCTTCCCTGCGGTTAATTTTCGGATTTCTGGAATTAATCCAGAGTGCCTCGAGGGTTTTTCGCGCCTGTGTTCTTGATTCGCGTGCGAGGATCGTGACACATACTTCGAAGTCGTCCCCGTTATGTCTCTGGGTCCTATGCGTGCTTAGCGGAGTATTTGGTCTATGTTTGCCGGCTAGGTGTTCTTTTATGCGG